GTGAATGTGGCTAGTTTAAATTAAGATGTAATGATGATAATAAGGTACACATTGAATCTTGAAGACTTGTTACAAAAAAAAAATATATATATATATATGGCTAAGGTTGTAGCTCAGTGGTAGAGAGCTTGCCTAGCATGTGTGAAGCACCGGGTTCATTCTCAGCACCACATATAAAATAAAGGTACATGAACAACTAAAAAAGTATTTAAAAGAAATAGCCCACTAAGTTTTTATACTTATGATGATATGGTATCGATTACATTTTAAATAATTTATAGGGTTTTCTCCTGTTCTCAAAGTTTAATAGTTTCACAATTTATGTTTAGGTCTATAATCCATTTTGAATTAGTTTTTCTGAATATTATATGGCCATTGTTTCAATTTATATGCTTTGTGCAAATGTCAAGTTTTTCCAGCACCATTTGTTGAAAAGACTATCCTTATTATATTCAATTAATTGCCTCTGGTCTTTCAAACATCAGTTGATTATGTTTGTGTGGATGACACTGTCCTATAAAATGCCCCTCATGCCTGCCAGGCATGGTGGTGCATGCATGTAATCCCAGCGGCTCAGGAGGCTGAGGCAGGAGGATTGTGAGTTCAGAGCTGGCGTCAGCAATTTATCGAGGCCCTGAGCAACTCAGTGAGACCCTGTCTGTAAGTAAAATATGAAAAGGGGTTGGATGTGGTTCAGTGGTAAAGTGTCCCTAGGTTCAATCCCTGATTACTCGCCTCTACTCCAAAATGTTCTACATATTGTATTTCTCTCTTTCTTCATTGTGTAGTTGTTGTTGTTTGGTAGTACTGGGGATTGAGCCCAGGGGTCATTCTACACTGACCTATATCTCCAGCACTTTTTATTTTTTGAGACAAGTTCTCACTGAGTTGCCTAAGTCTTTTGAATTTGTGACCTCTTTCCTCAGTCTCCTGAGTTGCTGAGGTTACAGGTATGTACCATCACATCTGACCGTTATGTAGTTTGTTTTTCTAAACAGTTTCCTTGTAAACTGGAAGTTGGGTTTATGAGAAAAGGTGTAAAAAAAAGATTTTACTCTCACAGAATTTGCCTTTTTTTTTTTTTTGTACCAGTTAATTGAATTCAGGGGCCCTTAACTACAGCTGCTTCTCAGCCCTTTTTTGTATTTTATTTAGAGACAGGGTCTTGCTGAGTTGCTTTGGTCCTTGATAATTTGCCGAGGCTGGCTTTGAACTCACAATCCTCCTGTTACAGCCTCCCCGGCCTCTGAGATTACAGGCATGTACGTACCATTGCGTCCGTTTTAAAACTTGACTTTTTCACTTCAAAGTTCATTTAGTAGTTGGAATTGGTCTATTCTTGGAAGGGAGAAATAGTTGCAGTTAGAGTATGTTAATATCAGAAAAAGAGGATCTATGGGGGAAAAATTCCAGTGAGTGTGGTTTTAGTATGGGATGATGAAAAAGTTTTGGAGATGAACAGTGGTGATGGTTATTTTACTTGTATGGTTATCACACATACAAAGTGTATGTTGCTGTGATGTATCACTGAATTTAGCCCTGCCTCCCTGCCTTTTCTGATAATTCATCCAGCTTCCTTTTGGCTTATTTGGACTCATTGGTAAAGGAACAAAGTTCTACAGTTCAGTCTTGGTTGAGTAAAAGTGGCAATGATGTTATATTTCAGCCATTGATACCAATAGAATTATTCTTTGTAGCCTCTCAGGGAGGCTATTGTTGAGAACTCTGGATGTCTTAAATTTTGCTCTGGGTGAAGATTGAGCTGCTGGTTAGAACAGGCTTTGCCTTTCATGATGTGTGGTTTCCATTTGTTGCAGTTAGCCAGAGGCAGGCCTTCTTTGCCCGGATAGTAAGAAATCTACAGCTTGATCCATTGTCCAAATGCTGTTTTTACACAAGGAATCCTATAAGTTCAGGATAAGGACAGTAATCATAATGCCAGAAGGAAAGTGACGGTTAATCAGTTTGCTATGAAGTCAGGCCCTTCACTTAGGAAACATACCTAAGATTAATAGCAAGAGCTCTGTTCAGAGGAAAGAAAAGAGCACCTTTATTTGTGACTAACAGAGTTCAGATGACCTCTCTACCTGCCTTTTTGTCTGCCTTGACTATGGACAGATTTGTGCTAAAAGCATGATACTGTAAAGTGAACTGTGACTTTGCTGAATTTATAAAATTATATCCACTTGAAACTTTTAATTATCTTCAATCTAATATATCACAAATACTTAGTCTACAGATTTTTAGGTTGTGTGTGTATAGCCTTTGCATAGGCAGTAGACTAGGGAAATTAGTATATTGTAGTACATCGTTTTTCAGTTTTTGATTACTGTGTAGTGGAAAATACATTTCATATTATGATCTAGAGCTATACAACTGGATATACTTAGTTGTAACAAAAATTTTCAGGGAATGGTACTTACAATTAATGAGCTTCATAAAATTTCATCTCTATGATTATATATTTGGTGTGGAGAGATTTAAAGATAATAGAATCTTTTTTAATATTTATTTTTTGGTGGTACATAATACCTTTATTTTGTTTATTTGTTTTATGTGGTGCTGAGGATCAACCCCAGGGCCTCACACATGCTAGGCGAGCGCTCTACCGTTGATAAAATAAATAAAATATTGTATTCAATTACAACTAAAAAATAATTTTTTTTTTCAGAAAGTTTCTTCCAAAGCATGTGCACTTGGAATCATATCAGAGGCCTATCACTTGGGATGGTGGAAGATAAAATCTTATCTGATGTTAAATGACATTTGAGAATAGGTATATGACATAGACCTTGTCTCAAGCCATATAAACCATTCTTTTGGGAAAAGATTATCTAATCCAATGTTGATTCATGTTCAGAACCATAGTTGGTAATATTTTTTTAAGAATGCATGACTGCTTTACATCTTTTATTTCATCTATCTTCATACAACCCTGTACAGTGGCGTCTGTTATCATTAATTACATTACTCATGTACAGTGAGAGGCTGAACCAGGATTTGAAGTCCAGAAACCAAGTCCAGACCCTGTTACACTGTACTGTGGCCTGCTTTTTCATTTATAAGGCCAAGTTTGCAAAGTATTTGTACATTAAAAAAATAAAAGTACTTATATTCTCATTTAAACTTCATAACTATCCTGTGCATTAGGGGTGAAATTCTTGATATTTTCACACACAAGAAAATGAAGATTAGGGAATTTAGGCCCAAGTGGTAATACCTAGACACACACTCATTTCTGACTCTAATTATCTTGTTGTCGTTATGTAGTTTTATTAAACATAATAAAGAGAGGGGTATGCCTAAAGGTGAATATTTTATATATAGGAATTTTAACTTGATTGAAATGATTTGATGATATGACAATTCAGGTCTGTAGAAACTTAGCCCTAAGATGCAGACTAAGTCATCTGATAACTAAGATGATTAATAAGTCATCGTTCCTGGTGACTTAGGCATAGTTGTTTTTATTTTTTATTTTTTTCAGAATTTTAATATTTATTTTTTAGTTTTTCGGCAGACACAACATGTTTATTTGTATGTGGTGCTGAGGATCAAACCCAGGCTGCACGCATGCCAGGCAAGCACGCTACCGCTTGAGCCACATCCCCAGCCCATAGTTGTTTTTATTAATGTTTCCTTTTTAATTGTGTGGGTCAGTTTACCATTCTTACACCAGTATTCTTAGGTAAATTCAGAAACGAAAACAGAGTTTTCTGTGCTTTAACTTTGGTTGGTACAGATGGGGTAACTAAATGCTTAGAAGAGGTCTTGTCAGAACTTTAATTTGGTGGTGAGAGAGTGAAGAATGTGTTTATGGGGAGTATTTTAAAATACTAGCTTTTAATCTAAAGCTTTTATTCCTAGATATGAAATTTCATAAATCTGAAGTTTGACTATTTGAAAAGAGGTCATATGTTGATTAGGAGATTGGCCTTTTTGAATCAAAACATTAATCGTAGATCCAGAGAAGGGTCATGGAGGAAATCAACCTGATGAGGACTGTGGCAATTGGTGCATTTACATTATGTCTTCAGGTTTCAGATGACTGTTTAAACTCACTTAAAGACCTAGACACAGCATGAGTGAATCATTTCATGGTTTATGTTATTTACTGAGCAAATATCTAGAGGTAGTGACTGTTTTCAGGACAAACTGTCCTTTCAGGTCATAGTTTCTTTTTTGGTAGCTGGCAAAAAAAAGAAAAAAAAGGAAAGTCATTCATATTTCTCCTTTATCTTCAAGGTAAACTTGTAGGGGCTTATTCTTTTTCCATAAGTTGTTTTTGTGTAACAAATATATCCTTAACTTTTTAAAAAATTTTTTAGTTGTTGATGGACCTTATTTTACTTATTTGTATATGGTGTTGAGAATTGAACCCAGTGCCTCATGCATGCTAGGCAAGCGTGCTACCACTGAGCCACAACCCCAACCCCTATCCTTAACTTTTAGAAACTAAATTGGCATGGCCTGTACCATGTATCATATGACTTACAACTACATCAATTACAGAAAATGATGAAAGTGCTCGCTTCGGCAACACATATACTAAAAGTGGAACGATACAGAAAATGATGAAAAAATAGGCATTATATTGTTTGTGTTCTGGGTGTCTGTTGCTATAGAAATAAATCAAAGCCGGGTAAGGTGGCACAGGCCTGTAATCCCAGCGGCTTAGAAGGCTGAGGCAGGAGGATTGCAAGTTCAAAGCCAGGGTCAGCAAAGATGAGGTGCTGAGCAACTCTGTGAGACCCTGTCTCTAAATAAAATACAAAATAGGACTGGTACATGGCTCAGTGGTTGAGTACCCCAGAGTTCAGTCCCCAGTACCCCCCCCCCAAAAAAAAAAAAAAAAAGAAATCAGGCAGTAACCAAAAGCGTATAGGAAGTATTTGAATCTCACTGGATGTTTCATCAGAAACATCAGAAAATAAAGTTAAGAAATTGATTGGTTTTCCAATTTTTTTGTGTAGGGGTGATTTTTAAAGATTATTTCTTAGATCCTTTGGTTCGTAAGCGTGATGATGATTGGGTGTTCATGCTATGTGTGAGATGTGCCTCCCTCTAAACCTTGTTACCACATCGGCACATTACCTGTATGACGTGAGGGGGAAAAATTATTTCTTAGTGAACTCAGGCCTTTTAAAATTCTCTTTTCTGGTAGGTATGGTGGTACACACATGTAATCCCAACTTCCTAGAAGGCTGAGGCCGGAAGATTGGAACATTAAGGCCAGCATCATCAATTTAGTAAGATCTTGTCTCAAAAGATAAAAGGACTGGGATAACTCAGTGGTAGAGTGTTTGTCTACTATGCAGAAGGCCCTGATTTTGAGTCCCTAGCACAGGGGGCTGGAGGGATCCCCTTTTCTATTCTAGAAGGTAAATAATGAGAAAGGCAGATATTTTATTTTCTTTGGGGTTATGATTTCATTTAGTGCAGGCTAATTTTTATGTCATATATTAAGAATGCTAAATTTTAAAACTGTTCTGGTGCTATAGAAAAGAAGTGAAATTTTCAAAGAATGGGTCAGCAGAAGATAGAGTGAAGTTTCACATCTTTATTTCACATTTACTCAAGAAATGCGTGTCCAAGATTGCTTAAACATTGACAAATGCTGTTAATTTCCAGATTCTCTGCCCCTTTATACCCTCGTTTTTTTTTTTTTTCTTGGTATTGGGGATTCAATGCAGAGCACTTTACCACTGAGCTATATACCTAGCCCTTTCTATTTTTTGTTTTGAGACAGAGTCTTGCCAGGTTGCTTAGGGCCTCAGCCTCCCAAGTCACTGACATTACAGACATGTGCCACCATATTGGTTCTCTGGTGGTTCGACTAGATTACTTTTAGAGGATAAACCTCATGCACGTTTACATATTAATAGGAAGTTTAAAATTGTAAGAACTGCTTTTGTCACTATCCAAGAAGATGGGTTTCTGGGAAAACAAAGAATGATTTTTTTATTTTTTGGTACCAGGGATTGAATGCAGGGGTGCTTAACCACTGAGCCACATCTCCAGCCCTTTATATATATATATATATATATATAAAAAGAGAGAGAGAGAGAATTTTTTTTTTAATATTTACTTTTTAGTTTTCAGTGGACACAACATATTTGTAAGTGGTGCTGAGGATTGAATCTGGGCCGCACACATGCCAGGCGAGCGCGCTACCGCTTGAGCCACATCCCTAGCCCTCAGCCCTTTTTATATTTTGAGTCAGGTCTTGCCAAATTGTTTAGGGCCTCGCTAAGTTGCTAATGCTGGCTTTGAACTCAGGATCCTTCTACCTCAGCCTTCTGAGCCACTGGGATTACTGGCCTGTGCTACTGTGCCCAGCAAGAATGTACTTTAGTTAGAACATCTGAACTCTGTTTATGTATGTATGTTAATTAAAAAAAAATTTTTTTTGCAGTAGTGGGGGCATAGATCCAGGGCTTTCCACATGGCAGGCAAGTGCTCTACCATTGAACTACATTAGCAGTTCTTTTAATTTTATTTTGAGACAGGATTTTACTGAGTTATTCAGACAGTACTACAATTTTCAATCTTTCTGCCTCAGCTTCCTTAGTAACTGAGATTATAGGTTTGTACCACCATACCCAACCTCAGATTACTTCTCTTTAGGATGAAGTTAAGATGTATGTCTTTTCTTTATCTGAATTTCAGAGAGTAGTTTTACTACTTAGCCACAGTTTTTTTCCTCTGCAGAACTGTGGTGATATAATGGTTAAATATGCAGCAAGTACACTGAACAACAGTTTATTATACCAAGTGGTAGGAAGAAAAGCAGGCAGTGTTGGTCAAAGAGATTCAGCACTCTCATTTCTCTGCCATTCTGTTTTGTGGAGGGCATATTTTTGGTGAGGTTGAGTATATCCTGACTTTGAGAGAATTTTAGGGTCATTCTGCATATGATAGCTGTTTGACATTAATTCTGAAGAGAACTTTCAGGGAAAGTTCATTTTGTTTTATGTATTCCTCTTTTGTTGATCATTCTGCTTTCTGAGCAAGTGTCTGTTTCTCTCTCTCACCAGAAGAGACAGGTGTGTATATGCTCTTGCCAGATTCTGCAAAAGATGCCTTTCTTTCTTTCTTTTTTTGTTGTTTGTTTGTTTGCTTGTTTATTTTTGGTACCAGGAGTGCTTAACCACTGAACCACATATCCAGCCTATTTTGTATTTTATTTAGAGACAGGGTTTTGCTGAGTTGCTTAGATCCTTACTAAATTGCTGAGACTAACTTTAAGCTCACGTTCCTCCTGCCTCAGTCTCCCAAAATTCTGGGAGGTGTGCCATCATGCCTGGCTCCTTTTATGGATTACAGTGTTTTGTTGTTGGAACTGCTGTGATGTCCTCATGTTTTTCATTTATGGAAAGTGTGTTATGTATTATAGGTCTCTGAAAAAATTAATCTAACTTCTTCCAGAAAATATTTGAAGACTGACTTGGCTGAACTTTGAGTAAAACAAATTCAAGTTTTTCCAGCCATGTCAATAAAACATAGTAGACTTTCTTTGTAAGATATAAAGGAGTTATATTAAGCTGGGGTTGGCAGTGCACACCTATAATCCCATGGTGTCTGGAGGCTGAGGCGGGAGGATTTCAAGTTTGAGGCTAGCATGGGTAATTTAGTGAGGCTCTAAGCAACTTTTTGAGACCCTGTCTCAAAATAAAAAACAAAAAGGGGGCTAGGGATGTGGCTCAGTGGTAAGTGAGTTTTTAAATCTGCAGTACCAAAAACAAAGAAAACCCAATTAGGTTAAAATTCTGTATGTGGTCTTCTTTTATCCCTGTGTTCAAGTTTCTTTTCTTTCTTTCTTTCTTTCTTCCTTCCTTCCTTTCTTCCTTTCTTCCTTCCTTTCTTCCTTTCTTCCTTTCTTCCTTCCTTTCCTTCCTTCCTTCCCTTCCTTCCTTCCTTCCTTCCTTCCTTCCTTCCTTCCTTCCTTCCTTCCTCCCTCCCACCCACCCACCCAGGCCCAAGGTTTGATCATTGTAATTATAGGCTGAGTCTCACCATTTTTTGTGCCACCATAGCCCTTCTCATTAAAATCCTGCTTTCTGAGCATGTGTCTCATGAGGTGTAATGAAATGTTCAAATTTCGTAAATATTTTGATAACATTTTAATAACATTTTATTTCAGAAGTGTTTTATATTTCTATCTGTATATACATGTATATTTTATTTAAAAGGAAATACTGAGAGAGATAGTAGGGGTAGGAAAACCTCCACAAAGTTTGAAGAGATCATTGCTACAAGAGGAGCAATAGTGTGTGTCGTCGTCTCCCCCCCCCCCTTTTTTTTTAGAGACAGGATCTCCCTGACTGGCCTTAAATTGGCAATCCAGTCCTCTTGGGAGCCTCCTGAGTAGATGAGATTATAGGTGTGACCAGCTGTAGAGAGCAACAGTCTTTATACATAGTTGCTGGTATTTAGTAAGTGTTCCATAAAGTTATATTAAATGAATGAACATCTTTTCTAGTGTCATTTATGTGGAGTCTTTGGCCTGTGATTTCTTATAGAGTTAATACTATGCCTTTTGGGCTGGGGTTGTAGCTCAGTGGCAGAGTGCTTGCCTAGCATGCATGAGACACTGGGTTTGATCCTCACCACCATATAAAAATAAATAAAATAAAGGTATTGTGTCCATCTACAACTAAAAGAAAAAAATGACTGTGCCTTTTTATCTTTGTATACTGAGAATCTGGCTGTTATTTCATATTCTGTGTAATCTTTTTGTATGAATAAATGTATTCAGATAAATAAGACTAGTACAGAGGGAAATAGGCAGTGATCAACACATACCCGCCCCAAAGTGTGATCTTGCAAAGAAATTGAAAATAATCACATTTTAAAATTTAATTGCTTATTTGAATAGTATGCATTTATTTGGAGTGAGAACTTAGCTTCTTTCTTTAAAGTAAATACTGCATATTAAATAGATAAATGTATATTAAAGCTATGAAGTAAGGGTTTGGTATATGTTGCAAATATTCATATTTAATCTATACAACTTCACAGTTTTACAAAATGCCCTAAGCTTTTTTTTTTTTTTTTTTTTTAAAGCAGGAGCTCACAGGTGAGACATAAAGACCTAGTTGTTACTTGGCTTCTTGGCATCATCTACCAGCAAGAAAAAAACCTTTTTCTTTCATGCAGTGGGGTAAAATTAGAATTTTAAATTTCTTTGTAGAGATAGGAGATGAAGAAATTAATCTTAATAAAAAATATTGGTAGTTTCATCATTGAAGAAGATGTATAATAAAGTGTCACTCTGACTATAGATATCTTCATGAGAATAAGAACAGATTTTCATAGTATACATATAATAAATGTACTGAGTGCAAAGTACTTTTGAGATATAGAAAGGTACCTTGTCCTAACGAGTAATATTTTTATTTCAGCCGAATAGGGAATAATCAGTATAATAACTTGTGAAATAAAAGCTAGAATTAGAAATCAGGAATGGTAGAATATTAAATAAAAGTGGCATAAACAACTAGAAATATAATGTATCTTAGCAAATATAAGAAACCTCCCACTCTGAGGAAGAGGCTTTGCTAATTATCTATTTACCAAGCATGATTTTCTTTTCTTAAAGACAGTCTTCTTTAGGGCTGGGGTTGTGGCTCAGCAGTAGAGCACTTGCTTCACACGTGCCAGACCATGGGTTCAATCTCAGTACCACATAAAAATAGTGAAATAAAGGTCTCGTGCCCAACTACAACTAAAAAATAAATATTAAAAAAAAGACAGTCTCTTTTGTTGCAAACTCATTCCACCACTTTACCTTCTATCTCTGCCAGAACCATTTCAGCTGTCTGAAGTCTCCTTTGACAGTTTCTTCCAGCTGCCTCAAGCTACTGATTTGGCTGAAGTTTTCTTCCCACACAATTTCAGGAGCATATAGAGCTGCGTGGTTAGGGCTGTCAGCTCCAGATCCAAAGTGCCTGGGTTTTAACCCCAGCCACTCTAGTTCCTAAGCCACACCAGTTATTTTGTTTTTTTTTTTTTTTTT